CGTTGTTTGTGGCCGCTTGTTTCGCGTAAAATAATCACATAACGTTTTAATATTTTGTTCCATGGCCTGGTACGAGTATGAGCTATCGCATACGATATTTTTATGGGCGCAGCGGTGCGACAGGTCCTTTTTCTTTTCCCCGCTCTATCTCGCACGCCTGCTTTTCAATGCCTTTTCTTGTCTCCGTTGCATGTCCTTGTCTGTCTTACTTGTCTCTGCGGCCGGGTCTTATCCGTGGCAACTGGCATGCCCTGTCAGACCACGTGCTCTGGCATACTCGCTCTGTCCTCGACCTTTGTTTTTCCCTCTCTTTGCCTTGGTTTCTTGCTGCAGATAAACGTACATGAGCTGACACTCGACTACACGTTTTAGCATTGTCTCAGCGTGTATATATATATATATATATATACATCTGCCGAGCACCCGCCCGAGCCGGTGTCCTTGCTGTTGCCTTGTACTATTTTGCCTGTGCGATGCAACGCGGAGGCCCAGCTACTACTGCTGCTGCCTGTGCTGGTCTTGTCCAAATTTTTTTTTAATGGAAGGCACGGAGACGTGCTGCTTCTGGAGGAGGCTTGGCCACGACTAGCTGTTGCCTGTTTTGTTGTCCGTTGCTATGCTTGCTTCCACGAACTTTTGGTTTACTGTGGTTAATTCTGCCAGAGGGAGCACATCAGATTTCAGAGCTACTACTCCTAGTGATTAACTAAGATAAACTCCTACAACTCTACAATGAGCAAGTTTACTACTGCTCCCTGGCTACTACTACGAGCTGCTGCCTGCTGGTGATAGTTTTTTTTTTTCATTTTGCCCCGGCCCTCATCAGTTACGACTTACGAGCGGCGAGCATGACATTAGCGGTCATATAAAGCACGAAACCGAAGACAAGAAAAGCGACGGCGAGGGCGAGCTTGATGCTGGCCAGATTCCCGAGCCATTCCAGCTCCGCTGCTGCTGACGGGTCATCAGCGGCCTGCTCCGGGGTGACTTTTCACAAGCTTGCACGGATGGTGACTGCACGTTCTCAGCGGCCAGCACTTTATATATATATATATATATATATATATATATATATATATATATATATATATATATATATATATATATATATATATATATATATATATATATATATATATATATATATATATATATATATATATATATATATATATATATATATCACTCTTCCTCGGTCCAAGTTGCGATATGGTTTGTGACAAAGACGGCCCCACCTTCTGCGATTGCCTTGCTCACCATATTTGCAAAAGCCTTGAACAATTCATAGCGTCGAGCCGCTATCAATGCTGCCGCTACACGCGTATCGTTGCCACTGTAGCGCACGTTGCCGTGTTCGGCTCGCGCTGCTGCCCTTGTCGCTGTCTGCTGCTGCATGTGCCGTCGCGGCCATCCTTGGACAAGAGTGTGGTGTTTGCTGCCTGTCTGGTCGCCTGCTGTCCCTCCCGTGGCTCTGCCTCGCTTCGTCCAGAGGTCGTCTGCCTTAAAGCATGCGCAGGTGGACGCCATTACCATGCCTTGAAAGCCCAGGAACGCCACTGCCGGAGCCACCGTAGCCCCACGCCTCCTCCGCACGCTGCTGCTCCACGGCGACTCGCCACAGCCGCAGCGCCTCGCCGGTGTCCGCGCAGCCCCCACCTCCGCGCGCAAGCCCCCTGTGTCGCGCTGTTCCTGCTGCTCCACAGCACCCGCGCGTCCCCTCTCCTTCGCCCTCCGCGCTGCCCCTCCCTAGTGCAACAGCCACCGCGCCCCTGTCGTCCGTCGCCGGTCATCCACGGGCGCGCGTGCGAGCCCCTCGTTCCCGCGCGGCACTTGCTGCCCCTCGGCGCTGCCTTCCCGCGCCTCCTCTCCTCCGCGTGCTACGTTGGTGTCCCCTCCATTTTCCCAGCTCGCGGCCGCCGCAGCCGCCATTGCCTACCTCCTGGCGCGCGCTGCCTGGCCGCGGTGGCCTTGGTCAATCCTCGGCCGCCGGAAGCTCTCGTTCGCTCCTTCCCCGCGCACGTGCGTCCTCCGTGCGCCACCTCCAGTGCAGCGAGGCCGCAGCCGTTGCCGCCTCAAGCTCCGCCACCTTTCCGCGCCTGGAGCGCCTTTCCGGCGCCGTTCCATCGCCGGCCGGAGTTCCCCTGCCAATGCGCTGCTTTAGAAGACAAGGTAAAGGGTATATGTCCAAGACAAAAATTTATACGAGGTCTTTACTGCGAATACGTGAGCCATCGGAATAGTACTGGTTCTACTGCGGCGTGATTTAGTAGAAGCTCAGGGATTGTTTTGCAAATTTTCCGCGCCACTGCGCGCCTGGGCCACGCATCCGCTGGGCCGGCCTGATTCCGCACGTGGACTGGCCGCTGCCGTGCGCCTGGGCCGGTTGGTTGTCCTGCTGGGCCGCCGCGCCGTGTTGGGCCACGCGCACGCCTGCGAGCCGAGTTGGCCGCCCAGGTCCTTTCCTGTTGAGTGTTTTGTTTTGCTAAATTAGTTTCGGGAATAAATTTATAAAATCAATATAAATTTACGTAGATGTCCAAAAATTATGAAACCAGTTTTGTTAGTCTCCTAAAATCATGCTCTATCTGTTAGTATATTTGTTCACAAAGTTTGATAATATTTTTGGGAGCTATATAATTAAATCTAAGATACTTAATATTGCAAAATACAAACTTGCAGGAACTTTCGTGATAAATTTGTAATAGTATTGGATCCGAAATCTTTACAGAAGGTTCCTAGCAATATTAGGTATTCACTATAAGTTTTGTATCTCCGGGATAATTAGTTTGCTAAATAGATAATGATGTCCTATTGCGAATAATAATTAAATCGATAGAATGGGATAAAGAAATGACTTGGGTTTATGTAACGAAAATAATTGTTGGGAAATAACGTCTTATCCGACAACGTGTATATGTAGCCTAAGTACGATCGTCGTTAGAACTAGCCCATTAGCTTGAGTGGCGTACATTGTATTTTGCGAGTTACGATTGTAGTTGATTAATTACGTCTTTGCATTGCATCGCATTGCACATCATATAGGTACGATGGTGGATCGACGGATCAATTGAAGAATGATTAGGAGTCCGAAGATGGTGTAATGATATTCTCTCCACGAGATGATGCAATGGGATTTCTATTCAATGGATGGTGGATGATCTGAAGATGTAGATACTAACTTTTAGTATATATCTTACCTAGGCAAGCACCGGTGAATAACCCATACTTTCTGTAGTTAAATTATATTTGTGCATTAAGTTTTAAGGAGTTGAATGAAACCCACTTGCATATATATCTTTATCTTATGAGTCTTACTAGTATGACAGGATCGTAGATTGCTATGCTATAGGTCTCCGATAGAAGTCGAGTGATTGCCTGTCACTCGTGAGAGATAGGAAATATATTACTGTATTATTATCACTTGGAAAACATAAATGGTGGAAAGAAAAATGGTGACCGGGTAGGGATATGGTTTGGGTATTGGTGGGTGTAAGAAGTTGTGTCGCCGTGGATGCGGGTCATAGCTTGGTTACACCGTTTTTCCGTGTCTGGTCGGTTAAGGACCGATCGTTGCATAAGATTCTAGGCAAGTCACAGACTTATTATCCCGAGCACATACTTGTGTATGGGCGCTTGAAAGACTTGTTGCTCTCTTGTCACGGATCCGGCTCTTTTCGGACCGATTGTCAGGGTTTTATTTTGGTGGAGGAGGTCCTTGCACCAAGACCGAGTCCGGACTCGTGGGGGGGCTTGAGTCCCGCTTGAAGGAGACCGGACACCCGGACACCGCTTGTCTTTGCGGGTCCGGCTTGTCTTTGGGGTACAAGCGGGCGTGTTTTCGGGTACCAACAAGGGCATTGATTCGTGAATCATCGCCAGGCGAAAGACGGCTTTTGTCTATGGTTTAGCATCGTAGTAAAAACTAAAAGATGAAAGATGGAAAAAGAAATCTAATTGCTTACCACCTGCTTGAAAGTAGCTCAAGTGCTTACATAGAATGGTTAGTTAATGAACCAATGCTGCTATTAATAAAAATCAAATATAAGGACGCACGCTTAGTAATGCTTCCTGCAAATATAACCCACAAGCCAGATAGCTTTGCATATCCTTGGAGTCTTTTCTTTCTTCCTATCGGGTAAGTCTTGCTGAATACAATTGAGTACTCAGGGTTTTATTCCCCCTGTTGCAGATGACAGGTGAATGTTAGAGCTGATCTTTGTGTGTGGATACCTCCTGGTAGGTTCAGCGAGGATTTCTTTACGCTACGATCGTAGTTGTTATTTATAACTCTCACCAAATACTTTTATAAATGAAAATTTCATAATTTGTTGTCGTAGTTTATATATCAATAATTCATCATGTCATTAATAGATGTTTATTTCCGCTGTAAGTCTGTTTACATGTTTATATTCCGCTGTTTAATTAAATTGTTCATAACTCTGATAATATGATTACATTTCGCTATTATAATAATAAATGTTATACTCTGATGTTGTATCAAAAGTGATGTAAGAAATGATTAAGAATGATGTAATCTTTATTTTTCTCATTTGTGATTTTGATGGCAAAAATGTGGATTTTCGAGTTCTCCCCTGGGGTGTGTCTCGACAGAATCGAGTAATTTAGTGTTCTCCATCGAATCGCTTAATATCTAATGAAAGACAAACACTTCTATGAGATATTAAATTAGACGGTTCTGCCAGCTAAGATAGATATATCCTTTGCGTGACTTTATATCATTAAAAAAAATTATAGGAGAGGGAAAAAAACATTTCACCCAGCCAGCATTTCTCCACCAGCTGAATCCCGTTCCCCTCCGCCGCCCGCCGCTCGCCGTCCTGCGCCCAGCGCCGCCTTGCATCTCTCCACCGGTACGTCCACTGCTCCAATCGACTGATCTGAGTAAGCTTCTCGCCTTGCTCACCGCGCTAGCGTCGATTTTGATTCCTTACTCATGGAGCCGTGTCCCTGTTTAGCAGATCTGCAGATGTGCCTCGGCGATGGCGTCGCCGAGGCCGTACTCCCCGCCTATCACCCGGGGCAGGCGTGCGCGAGAGGCCGCCAGCTCCGACAGGCTCCCCACGGACGTGCTGTTTGACGTCCTGCTGCGCTTCCCGGCCAGGGACCTCTGCCGCCTCCGCGCCGTCTGCCGCTCATGGCGCTCGCTCACCTCCGATCCAGTCTTCATCACGGCGCACGCGGCACGCCATCCGGCCCCCCTCTTCCTGGCCCAATTTCGGGACGACAAGACGCACAGCATCTACATAGTAGATCTGTCAGGTAACGTGGTGAAGCGGATCGCCGGCGCAGCTGGTGGCCCTTACCACCGGCTGCAATGCACGCGCCTGGACCTTGCCTGTCTGACTACTGACTGGAACAGATGCCATGTGCTCAATCCGGCTACCGGAGCTGTCCAGGCCCTGCCTCAGAGCCCGGCGGTGGAGCATGTGAATCGGGTCAACTTGAGTCAGCCTTACACCTTCTTTGCCCTTGGGCGGGTCTCCTCCACGGGAGACTACAAGGTGCTTAGGATGTTCAACAGGCCTGGCTTTGCCCAAGGTGGTCAGCAGCTCTTTGAGGTGTTTACCATCAATGGCGGTGCCGCACATGCACGGTGGAGAGGGCAGCAGAGCCCTGGCCTCTTTGTTGATGAGTGCAGTGGCGTTGTAGTTGATGGGGTGGTGTATTTCTTGACGAACAGAACATATGATGGTGCCCGTAATGGGATTCGTCTGGGCTATATCGTTTCGTTCGACCTTGAGAGAGAGGAGTGGAGGAGAGATCTCCGAGGCCCCATAAGTAGCGGGGTTGGATCTGCGAGGCACCTTACTTTGGCTGAGCTAAAAGGGTCTCTAGTTCTTGCAGATCGCCGTCACCAGCCTTTTACCCTGGACCTTTGGTTTCTAGTGGACTATGGGAGTGGGCACTGGGTGAAAGAGTACCACATCCTGACTTGGCCGGCAATCTCACCGCTGGTACTGGTAGATGAGTCCTTCAAACCATTGTTGCTGCTAGATGATGGGAGGTTGGTCGTTTATGTAGCAACAAGAGGGCAGCTGTTCATTCAAGACCCAGGAACAGATAATTTTGCAAGAGTGTGTATGGGACGTCTTGATTCAGTCAGTGTGTACACAGGAAATCTCTTGAGTAGAGGTTGACCTTGTAGGTTGAGACTCAAATTAGATCATGTCTAATGTACTTCATAGGAATCATTCTCCTACTTTCTGGAACTGAACTTTGTATAGATATTGAAGATTATGGATCGGTTTATTGTAAATCCATGCTAGTATTCGATGTCCCCATTTCGCCAGCATCTTTTGTTATTATAAAATGAGGCATGCTTGTCCATAAATATTTGAACATATGGCTTTTTCTTGGTGCCACAGTTCATGTTTCTGCTGCACCTTTGTTGGGAAATAATGGTATGATACTAGACTTATCCCTTTTTGGCCTTGTGGTAAGACATAATGTTGATGCAAGTAACATAATCCCTGATTATGTCTGGAGGCAATATTGCTTACTACCCATCGAAGGGGCATAGAGCATCTACTTTGCATATATTGTTATTTGAGCACAGTGTCAATCCATATTGTTAGTGTAATATTGTGTGTTTAGCCTATCAGTCAGTAGTTAGCCTGTTTAGGACCAAGTCAGTCTGTCACTTCTTTCAGCTATTCTTCAGGTAGTCAGTTTGTCTATCAGTCAGTAGTTAGGTAAAGTTAGAAATCTTGATGAAGGTATGCCAAAATAGTTTCCTGTATTTTTAAGCATCAAAAGTTAGTCTACCTCCTAACTACCATGCTTCTATATTTACAACTGTTGTTTATGCAAGGAAATTTGAAACAGGCATTGAAGCTGGTCAGGTACTGTGGACTTTCTCTCATTTTGAAGGATTTCATTATCATATTGCATAATGCTACTCCCAAAAAAATCATTTTCAGGGTGAAGCATATACATTTGAAAACTATGAACTTAACTGCTAGATTTTGACTTCAACTATGCCCAAAACCTTATGCACTATGATAATTGATTATTATATGATCGATGAGCGTCATATTGCCCCTGTCTAGGTTTCTGAGAGGGAAGAAATGTGTAGAACCCTTATATGCATATTTAGATCTTCACTGCCTTGTTTTTCAATTTAGCACTAGGAACAACATGCATGACCCTGATAGTAGATTTGGTTTATTTCTTTACTTGATTTGTTTTAAAGGGCTGAAAGTAAGTGTTTGAGACACACAGTGTTACAGCGTCGGTGTGTCAATCCTGGACCTGATAATCCATTCTGAAACCTTACTGAACATTTGCTCATGAACTAATCGAACTGTAGATGAATGCCAATGCCATCTGTCTATACATATTATTTTGCAGGATAGTAGCTAACTTGGCTGCAGAACTAGGAATTTTCAATGAACCTGACAACTTATTATGACTGGAATAATGAGCAGCAATTTTCAGTTTGTTTCGAGTAACTTGTGTTCTATCTCAGTTTTGCAATGGTTTGCTTGGAGTTTATCACAATGGTGGTGTGTTGAGTCAGTGCTTCTCCAACCGATCACAATATAGTAGGGACATTTGTTTTCATGCGTCATCCAGGGCAAGAGGGCCTGGTAGGAGTCTTGGGTCTGAAGTTATGTATGCCAAGTCGATGACTGGTTAGCAGTGGCATTGGTGTTTGATTTGTTTGCCTTTCAGCATCGAGATGTTTTTGTTCAATGTGACCAAATAATGTGTTACCAGACATGTTTTCTGTTTTTCTGCAATGGTGTGCTATAATACTGTCCATTCATTAGCTTTCAAGTTCGTAGAGTGAACCGTAATTTCAATTTATATATGGATTGATGCTTCGTAATGTTGATGCATATTCTTGGATTTCCATTTATTGATCTTGCAATGTGTTTCTGTCTGTACTATTTATTATTTCTGAATTTCCCTGACGTCCTTGGGATTTGACCCCCTTCGTTTCCCAAACAGGGGACTGCGGATATTCAAGCATTCATTCCCGTTGGGTTAGGGCCCATCTTCCCAGTTTCCCCACCTCTCACCCAAACGAAAGCTGAGGCATTTTGAACTAACCTTTCTTACCAACAACTCGTAGCTGGATGTGAAATTTGTGCAGCCCTAACCCTTCTAGGATAGTTTCCATAACATTAATAGACTGCAATGTAAGCATTTTATTGACTTGGCAGAGAGTTAGAAAAAAAAAAGAGAAGCCATTTTTGCTTGGCACAAAGGGACAAGAAGCCTACCATTGCCACATCCACCATGAGATAAATGATTGGAAGATGGGTGCCATGAGAACTGTGTCATCTCCCATGCTGATCTACACAGGAAGATGATGGGAAGGCCGACACAGGAGGGGAGGGCTTGGGCAGAGGCCCACCATGCTCGGCCAGCCTACCATGGTGTGGACGATATGATTGAGGATTGAAGAATTTATTGTGGGCCCATATCTAGAAATTGTACTGTGCGTGATTTATGGTGTGGTTGGTTTGTGCAGTCACCCATGCTTCATGAGGTGATGTATCATGAGTTCATCCTATGAATTTTGGTGGAATCAATCCATTCCTCATGAATATATTAATTATTGGCTTGTGAGGAATGATGTGGTGATGGATCAACTTATTCCATTCCACATATTAAATATAAAAAGTGAGGAGTGAGAAGATGATGGACCACCTTATTCATGAAACCAAACATTAGTTTCTGTGAGTTTTACGTGGGTAGCTATGGAATTACTGGTCAATAGCAGCGTTGGAACTTCCGTTAGAAGAATAAGGAAATTGAGCTCTACCAAATAAATAGAAAAATGATGTAAATTGAAATTTATTTGTTTTGCTCAGCAAGAGTGTTTAAAAAAAGATATGGATACATAATTTAAAATTACCACACCCCGTCACAAACTATATTATTGCTACTCGTATTCAGGTTCATGTAAGAAATGCAAGGAGAAATGAAATGTACTCTATAAGGCCCGTTTGTTTTTCGGCCCAGCCATTTTGTGTTTTTGATTTCCTTATTAAACGGTTGCCGTGGTCTAATTTTCCTTCTCAAACTATAAAATCGACCATCTTACCCGTTAACTCTCAAAACCGCTTAAATTACCTCCTTGTATTGGCGCAGTTTCATCCGTCTTTAGTTTAAAAAATTGTTAAATACCTAATAAGGTTTTTATAAACAATGAAAAATGTCTCTAGGTTTTAATTTTTTTGATAAAAATACTAGAGAAAGATTGGGACGTAAGAAGCCCAAATTAAATATTTAGAGCACAAGAAATTATCTTTAGAAGCTTTCAAAAAATTAGATTTATCTCTAGTAAAATGCTAAAATAATCTCCAAAAAATTAAAAAAAATCCAAATCATTCTAATTGATGTCTAAATGCAATTCAAAAACTTTCCGAGACAAAGATATTAATGTTGAATGTATTCATTCTAATTGTATGGAATGTTTTTCTCGTTTGTGAAAAGTTTTCAAAAAATGTTTAGACATCAATTATATTATCTTGGGGATTTTTTTGATATTTTACCTTTTTCTTAGAGTTAAAATCTATTTTTTTGTAAAACTTTGAAGACACTTTCACGAGCTCTAAATATTTTATTTGGGTTTGGCGTGTCCCAATCTATCCCTATGATCTTTCTCGGAATTGTTAGAAACTTAGAGACATTATCCGTAGTTTTTAACTATACTAGTGGCCATGTACGTGCGGCACACACGTGTTTATGTGCCCTGTTCGCTTGGCTTATAAGGCGTACTTTTTCAGCCAACGAACAATATTTTTATCTCATAACAAATCAGCCAACAGTACTTATCAGCCATGACTTATCAGCCAAACGAACATACTTGGACATGTGATTATTAAAAATGATGGTGTAATTAAAACAAAATATATATATGCTTTCCAATAGCAAGTAAATAATATAAATGGGACCAATTATATGATTTATTAAATTGAGTTAAGAGATTTATTACCTAAAGAGTTAAATGCATGAGCGGTCCTTGAATTTGTCAAGGAGTGTCACTTAGGTCCATAAATTTTAAAAATGTATTTCTAGGTCACTAAACTTGTTAAGTGGTGCAACGTAGGTCCATGTCAGCCACGTGGACATTTTATATGACGTGGCATTGCCACTGTGACGCTGACTGCATATGGCACTTTGTATTTAACCCCTCAAAAATATTTCATCTGTCTCAGTCTTACCCGTCCTCCCTTCTTTTCTCATCTATACCTCATCTCTTTCTGTTATTCTGTATACCCCTTAGCCCTTGCTCCACCCGTCTGCCATGCGTTGATTGGCGACGGCGGAATAGCACCTCGCTGCCTACCCTACCTTCGATTCCTCACATATGTTGCCTCTCGATCTTCTCCTCCACACCAGTAGTAGCCACCGTCGACAATGAAGTAGCAGCAGCCGACCAACGAGCGGAGTAAAGAGGCGGCAAAGAAGAAGTCCATGGATTCGCTCCTGATTCCTCCGTCCGTGGAATCACGGTGGCACGACCATGTCCCCAACAGTGCCTAGCTCCACGTTTGAGTCAGTATCGGCGTCGCCCGTGATGATGGGGGCCACTGTCTCGTGTGCGGCGCTGGCACTACCGGAATCCTCAAATTTGCCGAGTATTTTTATGTTTGCAGAGTGTATTTCCTCGAGCACTCGACGAACAAGATCTTTGCCGAGTGCTGCTCTAAAAACACTCGGCAAAGAGGGTGGTTTGCCGAGTGTAAAAAAAAACACTCGGCAAAGAGGGGGTTTGCCGAGTGTAAAAAACACTCGGCAAAGAAATAAAATCTTTTTTCTAGAAAAGTCGAAGAAAAACAATGATTTTTTTGCCGAGTGCTTAGATCTAGAACACTTAGCAAAGAAATAAAATCTTTTTTCTGAAAAAGAAGGAGATGAAAAAATGGAAAAAAACTTTGCCGAGTGCCCCGATCTGGGACACTCGGCAAACAAAAATATCTACTTAACCCACCCCTCCCGTCGCCAGCGCCCCACCCCTCCCATCCCCAGCCCTTCTTCCCCTCTCCTCCTGGCCCTCAGCGTCCCTCTCCTCCCGCTGGCGCCACCTCCCTCCCCTCCTCCCGCCGGCGTCGCCTCCCTCCCCAACTCTCCCGGCCGCCCTCTTCCCCTCCGGCTGCCGCCCTTCCCCTCCGCTCCCGGCCCCTCCTCCCTCCCTCCCTCGCCGAATTCGGCCGCCACACCTCCCCTCCGCTCCCGGCCCCCTCCTCCCTCCCTCCCTCGTCGGATATGGCACCTCTCACCGGATCCATCGCCCCCTCACCGAGATCTAACGCCCTCTCCCTGGATCCGATGCCCCCTCCTTTCTCGGCCGTGTGGAGGCGGGGATCCGGTGGCCCCTCCTTCCCCAGCGGCATGGCGGCGGGGATCCGGCGACCCCTCCTTCCCCGGTGGCAGATCCAGTGGCCTCTCCTTCTTCCCCTACTAGTGCCCCTCCCCCCCTTCTTCTTCCCCCGTGGGTGCCCCTCCCCTCCCCTTCTTCTTCACCCGGCCGGATCTGGCCCTCCCTCTCCCGGATCCGGTCGGTGGCGGCTGGATCTGGCGTCGGGCCCTCCCCTCCCCTTCTTCTTCTCCCGGTCCCCTCCTCGCTTTACCTCTATTCAACCCTCCTTCGCTTGCATGATTTTTCACTACATGTGATATTTGGAGGGGGAATCTTGGTCAAAGGAGGCAAATGAACAAGGGAAGTTCAGTTTTAGCCTAGATCTATTTTGTCCCCTTGTCTTACCAGTTTGCATGCTAATAATGATTGTTTTGCGTTTTGTAGGTTGTGGCCTGCTCGGTTCGGTTGGATCTTGAGAGCACACAATTATTGTGCCATGGATCTACAGTCCTAATGGTTTCTAGTTTGTTGTCTGCATTTTGGTCACCTGCAATGATGAATACAATTTTCTCTTGCCGTTACATTTTACTTTGAGGGAATAGGCTACTGCAGTGTCGATTATTGTAGTGTTTGATGCAATGATCATGAGCGATCTTTCCATGGTCTACATCTCTTCCTTCTTTCTCATGACTAATGAGGCAATGCTCATGAGCTATGATGATTCTTCCTTCGTTTTGCATCTCTCTGCTGTGTCCATAACTAAGGCAATGATCATAGGCTGTTCTATTTTTGCCATCTCTTTGTACCTATTCCGTGGTAACTAAGGCTGGTCAATTGGTTGTTCCTAATTTTTAATGCATCTCTTCCTACCTGTTCTAATTTGTGTGGTTTGGAGACACCAATGAGGGGTAATATTTATTGCCTATTCAGTCACGGACTATGCGGCTGCAATCATCTCTTTGTTATGAAATCTCGGCTTCTGATGACGCTGCCTGTGATGATTTCCTCCTTTGTATCCTCTGATGATTGCCTATCATATTTTGCTCATACTTGCTTATGATCATTATCTATGATGTTAATACACACGATTTGTGTAATCTAAGATTGTGTTTACTGCCTGTGAACTGATAGTTATATTCCTGTGTTTATCTTGCATTTGATTTAGTCTCCTTCATTCACCTGCTAACCTTGCTGGCCTCGACTGCAGGTTAACACGTTACCAATGTAACTGTTCGTGGAGACATGTTTTATTTTGCAAATTTGTTCCTTGCCGCATCCATCTAACTCCCTATACATTCTGACGTCCTAAGTAATAGTCTTCT